TTGGAGCCAACGCCCAGGGGCGTTACTAGGGGTTGTTCGCGGTCTCGCGCGAGTTCCCACGAGTCCGCCGGGGGTAACCCGTGAGTCCGCGGGGGTAACTCGCGGTTCCACGGGGGTGACTCACGGGTCCGCGGGGGTAGCTCGCTGTTCCACGGGGATAGCTGTGGCATTATCCGCGGCGCGCGAGGTACCCCCGTGGCAGGATCCGCGGACCGCGAGCTATCCCCGCAGACCCGCGAGTCACCCCCGCAGACCCGCATGTTATCCCCGCGGACTCACGGGTTACCCCCGGCGGACTCGTGGGAACTCGCGCGAGACCGCGAACAACCCCTAGTAACGCCCCTGGGAGTTGGCCCCAACAACAGTGGTGGAGCCACGCTTTGGCGCTTGGAGCCGGTCCCCTGCGCCTGATAGGTATGCAGTCCCGGATGGAGCCGTGCGGGCGGGTTGCATACACTCACAAAAATGTTTTCTTGCCGCAACCGGAATCTACTTGAGCCAAGAATATTTTATTCTTGTCGCTCCTACAAGATTTCGTATTCTTGGCCCAAGAATATTTTTATCTTCCGCTAAGCTCGTGGAGAATCTTGCTCTAAGAACACTCTAGTCTTGCTGCAAGGATTTCTTCTTGCTGCAACCACATCTGTTTCTGAGCCCAAGAATATTTTTCTTTCAGGCAAGAACAGTTTTATTGTGGGAAGCTACTACTACTCTTAGGATAAGAAAGTGTTTTCTTTCGGGGAAGAATACTTTGGGTTGTTGTGAGTGTTTGTGTTTCTTGTGGTAAGCCAATATTGTCTTACAAGAAGAAATAATTTTGGTTTCCTATAAAACTACAGTTCTTGAGTGGAATAAAAATACATGGGTATAAAAAGTATAAAATTCATTTTATTTAAGAAATAAGAAATATCAGACATATTCAAAGAGGTACAGAAACATTCTTTTTGATAACTTCCACACTTCAATTTCTCTGAAAGCACTTAACATTAAACCTAAATGGCACAAACATTTTATTATTTCTATGTCTAATTTCTGTGGAAATGTGGCTCAATAGCTGGTTCACATTAACAAACAGCCACTCATTACTATGACTTATCTGATATGCATAAAAGTGTGAGTCAAATCTAACAACAGTTAGTTTTTTTAACAAAAAAAATGCCTCATTTCCAGGACGTATGATAATTTTATCTAGTTGAGCAAAAACAGGCTTGTCATTATTCAAAGAATGAAGTAAAACTGTACCAATCCCATACTTTGCTCCACTTACTTCTAAACATTTCGTGGTGTCCCATGAGTCACAAAAGTCAGAGGGAATCAAGTGCCGAAACTTTGAGAAGTTTGGATGTTGATCAATACGTTCGCTTTTCACAACATTATAACTAAACTTTGGTTGAAATCCACGACCAGACAATAGTCGAAAGGCCAGTTTTGTTTGGTGATAAGTAGCAATAGTAAGTGGTAAATTTATCCTGTTCTTAGACCGACGAGCTATATCTTTTCCTTCCTTGTGTTTGTGCTCCGTTCTATAGCATGACAGTGGTTCCTGAGGACCACTGAGTCGTAGAACTTCATCTTCATGAAGAAGCAAATGGAATTTAGGCTGTAAGTGGGTTTGAAAGATTCGAATATATTCTGAATGATGTTTCTTGATCAGACTTTTGATTTCGATGCAATCGAGATTCCTAATGATTGGGGCTGTCATGATATCAATTATTTTTCTATGCAATAAATAGAGATTCCAGACTGCTTTGTCCTCATCTCTTACAAGGTGCCCTACCATAAGTCCAAAGTAACGTACAAAGCACCGCATTTCACTGGCAGAACATCTAATCTTTTTGTTGACAGTTAGATCTTCTTTGCTAATGTAAGGCATTTTGTTTTTCTCTTCCCCATAACCATAATAGAAACCTTGTATAAGGTCATTAAGTTGGTCGACATCAAATCTTTTCATATCATAGAGATATTTAACAATTTGGTACATTATATATTTGGATACACCCTCGTCCAAATCATGCATTTGGTCCAAATAAATATTTTCAGAAACATCAAAACTACCTAAAGTGTTGAATACACAAGGTCCTTTTCTCCCAGTTTGAGAAGAGTCATTAATTGCTAGGTCACTTTCGTACGTTTCACAATTTCTCCTTTTGAGTGGGTTGGATTCTGTTTGGTAGTCTGTGATACACTTCTGTTCAGAACAAATTCGACAGAAAAAGTGTGCAGAGAAACTTTCTACAAACCCCAAAATACCATTTGATCCTAAGTTATCACCAGTAACCAAGCACAATGCAAAATACAATTGAAAAACACCTTCATTGGTGACAACCTTGATCCCCTTTTCTTCTAAATCTTTAAGCTCAAACAGAACTTTTCTAAAAACTTTATCATTTCCCGCAGCTCTGTCATTACTGTGAAATAAAACGGCTAAGAATATATTTTCAAGGAGCGAAGCAAACTTTGGAGGGATAGTAGCTATTTGAATGTAGCCTGCACCTAATTTGTGAGTACCAGTGTGATATCCCAGCTCCTTGTTTGGTTCGTAATCATCAAAATTAAATTTTAAAGGCAAAACTATTTTACCTTCAAATTTTGGTTTAATTTTTTCTCTCCAAAGCTCACCTTGAATTATATTTTCTATAGGACCAGACTCAGTATAACTGCTATCAAGATCAGACATGTAATTTAAAATAGATTTCAGAACACCAGGCAGTTCAAGAAATCCTTTTATCACTCTACCAAACGGAATAAATTGACCAACCAGCTCAATAGGTTCGACAACAACGAAACCATCATCATTCACTTCATTTGTTGACCGCCCAATGATATAGGGTTCAGGAGCGATGTAAGCACCAGTCTGAGTAAATTCAGACAGGCGTCGATAGTGAGTTTCAAAACCTTGGAATAAGTTTTGACATGAATCAAATTTTCTAATAATATTTTTAACTTTATCTGTGGCAGCTACTGATTGATTTAGAAGACTAACTACTTCTAATTTCAAAACCGACAAGAAACCACCACCAAGAAGTTGTTGGTGGCTATCTATAACCAATTGAATTTGAGACTCAGTAAACGAACCACAATCATAAAGGCGACCAAGAAATGAAACAACGGCATTTGTCAGAGCCTCGTCAAAATCAACACTGTGTAATGTAGAATTATGAGCGCTATCATCCATATCAATATCATCATCGGGAACATTTGAATCTACCAGCTGAGGGCAGGGCATATCAATGGTTCTTAAAACTTTAGCTGCGTGACTAGTCATATTAATAGGGCCAATAGGATTCCCAGATGATTCATCAGTCTTGTGAGCCATTACATGCCTATAAAAACTATTATATTTTCCAAACCTTCTTGAGACACAATCAACTTGAGTGCAGAGCATGTAACCCAAACCTATCTCTTTTTGATGTTTATCTTTATAATGATCTAAGTATTCAGTGGCACCAGAGAACATAGCATTTCTACATAATGAGCAGGGAAACATGGTAGTTTAGTAGTCTAGCAAATATAAATATGAACTTTAAGCAATGTATCAGTATGACCTTCAACCAAACTACATGGACAGCACATATATACACAATTAAGGGACCTAAAATACTCACAGTAGCACACAGTTTTAACATAAACACAAACAAAGATAGCAACAAAATGGCCACCACCAAAAAGTAACAGTTGAAGGAAGGTGCAAGATGACACTTCAGGAAAATAACTGGAGGGCGGTGAACAAAAGAAAGAAAAAAAAAATGTTTAAAAGTTACAGAAGGTGGCAGTGACTATTGATGACTATAGGCATAGGCCAACTCACACTGTTTTCACCACAAGTCCACTAGTTGCTCTGACTGCAAGCCAGTTGCCTTTAACCAGCAGAACAAAGTTTCTTTCTTGATTATAATTTTCTGTGACAAATATGATGTCCTCAACTCCTACGTTTGTCTTTGCTTACAGAATGGGCTGTTGCTTTTCTGCCAGATCTCTTGCTGCTGTAATGGAAGATGGCATTTCATGATGATCTACAATCCAGTTTAACTGTGTGGCTCTAAAATTTGTTTCAATTTGTGGACTGCCTGTTATCATTATCATATATTATTTCTGGAAAATCTCTCACTGAATTAAACAAGAGTCCCCACCACACTAGGAAGTAATTCAGTTCTCTTGATTTTTAGGATTTGGACGGGTTGTCTGGAAGTGGCCAACCCAGTTCAGTTCCAGTTAGGAAATTACATGCCCTTTCAATTTCTTCAAAAGAGTATTTTACTGTAATTTTAAATCATTTTTAATTCTATTTCATTAGTACTCTTAATATCTATTTTAAATCTTTGGAAGGCAAGTGAAGCATAATTTGTTACGCATGAAACACGAATAAGATATTAAAGAACAAAAAATATTTGCTTTCACAAGCCAAGTAGAGTTGAGTAAGGTGCTCCCACAAGTTCTTCTACTTCGCTTGTATTCTAGACAGAATTCTCTGAGGCATGGTGCAATTATTGAAAGGGTTCAAGTTATTCCGAAAGGGGAAGTTTAATACTTTGTAAACCTAATAATAAGAGACCAACTGACAACCACTTTGATCGGCTTGAGTAGCAAAGCTATGGTTTTGATTCATTAACAGTACAACAATATTATTAATTCAACAAAATTGTATTATTTTGTTGTCAGTTGCGCTCTTATTATTAGGTTTACAAAGTATTACATTTCCCCTCTCTGAATAACTTGCACCCTATCAATAATTGCACCATGTCTCAGAGAATTCTGTCTAGAATACAAGCGAAGTAGAAGAACTTGTGGGAGCACCTGTAGTAACACAGCGGCAATGGATCGTAAATAATTATGAAATGCTATCTTCTGATTCAGCAGCAAGAGCTTTAACAAGAAAGCAACACTCCATACCAAAAGCACACAAATTTAAAAAGTTGTGGCCCAATTAGGAGACACCGAAACTCATAATCAAGATGGAAACTTTCCATACTGTTATAATAACAAAATTGATAAAGTTTTCTAAGAAGCAACAACTTTAACTGGCAGCATCATCTTCCACAACATTATTCAAATGGTCAATAAGACTTATCACAGATTCAATCACAGGATCTTCATAAATTTCTGCATTGTATAGGTAATGCTGCACAAACAGCCACAAATGCATGGCCTCGGGTGGAAAGTGGCAGTTCAATCCAAAGCATGTTTTGAAGCACAAATCGACTGCAGCCAGAGGCCCACCTACTTTCCATGGCACTCTGTCAACAATCACATATGCTGCTCGACAAGTGTCTTCATGTTCCCCGAGGACAACAATATAGGGCTGTACTGGGGCTCCAAACTTTGAAGCCCTCTCATGGCGAGATTTTATAGTCACATCAAGGTCACTAGAGTCCTGTAATGGAAATATTATGTTTTAAATTCCACAGGTAACAAAGACATAAAATCATCAAAACAATGAATTGACATATTGTTAATTGAAATGTCAAATCAGAAAAATTACGAACTCTAATGTGCTGCAGAAATGCATCCTTGGACTCTTCTGCTGATGGCTTCAATGTCTTTCTTCCAACCTTTACCCTTCCTTGCTGTTTGCAGATGAAAGGTAAAATCTGCAGGATCACATAGTCCTTGCTGTCTGAAAAATAAAAAAATAAATACTTGATTTAAGGTTTCAGTGAAAAACCATGCAGTAAATGAAAAAAAATTTGGTTGCAACTTACTCTGGTCTGAGGCATTTTTGAGCCGTTTCTGAAAATCCCTTATTTCTTTTTTTGATAGAGAAGTAATGCCACTCTCAATCAAAAATATCAGTTTAACACAAAATGGATTCCAGTTTATCATAAGACTGTTGCCTTTGTCTTTCAGTGGTGCATAAGCCTCAATTATAGAGGGAAGAACTTCAAAGTCATCTGTTATCTGAAGGAGAAATTTTTTTTTAGATAGCTACACCTTAAGCCTACACCCACAAAAGTTATAACTTTCGGTCCCAACATACCAGTTCATGAGAATTCGGAAGCTTTAATATTTCATCCCATTTGGAAATATACTCGTGAGGTTTGAACTTTTTGAACTCTACAAGTTCTTGTAGCCGGGGCCTGGCACACACCCTCCAGTTTCTTCTCACCTCTGTGAGAGGCTCAAAGTTCCTTCTGAGCCATTCTGTAGCAGCTTGCTCATCATTTGAATAGTCAACTGAAAATTAATTTATAACATTAGCATACTTTTGTAGGAGTCAGACATCATAAACATAATGTTGACATCTTACCACTAGGAATGATCACTGGCAGTGATTTTTTTGATTTTCTTGGCTTTGAGGGGATTTTTCCTTTTCCCCTTAAAAAGGTTTTCAAGTTCTTCACTGCGTTTTGAAGAATCCCCTTGGCATTCTTCTGCTGTGGTCCCTCAGACCCAGGAGACAGGTACCAAACCTTAGCCTAAAAATAATAAAATAAGATAAGAGGCAAATGGATCATGAATGAAGCGAGCAGGTTTAAAATACTTACTTTCTCCCGAGGGAACAACTTGATTATCTTATTTCTCAGTTTGAAATAAAGTTCTTGAGAAGGGCTGAAAATATTACATACGATTAATTGCGAGCAATGAAACTTAAGATAACAAGGAGAGAAAAACTTACTTTTCAATGCGATTCACCAACCACTCTGCTAGACTCCTAGCAATTAGAAATCTGTCTTTCCTTTCCAAATACCCAACCCTCTTGTAACCGGACAGGACAGCGCTGCATTGGCTCTGGCCTTCAGAGTTAAAAAAATTTTCCAAATTCTAAAAACAGAAAAAAAAAAGAGTTTTAATAGATGTGTGCATTTGATGGATAGTTAGTACTGACTTCTCTTCACACTCACTAATTCATCAACAGCAGCCGTTGCTTCAACCAGGATCTTGCGCTTCTTCCCTAAAACATTCTTATTTACTAGTGGAGCATCAGTTGAGGAGAAATCAACAGTTGGAGTGCTCAACTTCAATTTCTTGCATGGCGTTCTTTCTCCTTCTGAATCCGAACTAATTCTTAAAGTCTATTACAAAAAATGTGAGAATGTTGATTAATAAATACAGTACTAATTATCATTCTGAAAAAAGTACGCTGAAAGACATACCATATCGTCATCATCAATCTCAAATGATTTGTCAGATTTGTGACTATCACCATCCTCCTCCTTATTAGATTAAAAAAAAAAAAAAAAAAAAAAAAGAGTTAAAATCGACATAGGAATGCAAAGAAATATTTCCTAAAACATGAAAACAAATAGCTTAATATTAAGTAAGATGTAAATGTACCTCAGTCATTCCACTATCGCTGCTGCCGCCATCGTTCTTTGTAGTTGAAGACTTACGCTGTTAATTAAATCAAAGATGTAATGTTTGTCAACAAGGTTAATCAGAAAAAAAGATATAGTCTAGTAATATTGATAAACATAGCAGTCTCCTGATGCTTCTAAAGGAGCAACTTCTAAAACTGGTTAATCACCTTTCTTAAAGAGCAACCCAATACAGGCGTGAAATGAGCATCAACAATATTACTTCTGCCATCTGAATTCTTGAAACAAAAATAATAGTCAACACACATAAAATAATGACAGCAAATTCTTCCACATTTACTCTAGAGAGAGGGAGGGAGGGCGAGAAGAGAAACACAAATTATTGATGAGAAAAACTTACTTCGGCCTGAGGCTTATCAGCAAGGAAGTTATTTACTTGAACACTTGGGCTCGAGAACCCCCACGATTCATGCAGGCCCTGAAAATTAAAGAACCATAAAAATACATTAGCCGTCATGAAACAAATCTTTATTTCATAATGTGTAAAGAAAACTTACCTGTTTGATTTGAGTCATGTAGGCTCTGAACTTCCTTGCAATTTGTAACCGTTCCATGAGCTTAAACTGTGGTTCGGGAAACATGACAACTAGGTCTTGCGCTTCCAAACGGATAAAATCTGCTGAGGTAACTTTGTTATCTGTAACAAAAGTAACTATTTATTCATTTCTTAAAACAGATAGTACATTACGATCACGCAGAGGGGAAAGAATGAGGCATTCTAATTTGGTGCAAGTTTGGGAGAGCTCTATCACAGATAACCTAACCTTCAAGGCACAAGCACTCATGATAAAGGAAAATGTATTTTCTTCGACTGTAATTTCATTTGATTTTGATATCAACCCTTCCCTTTGCACTGAAAATACATCTCGCGCACTAAAATGTAACTAGCATGAGTCAAAGAAAGTAGGCAAAGACTGATATGTGAAAATGATAATAACAAACAAACCGGTCCAGCTGTCCGCATGGGGTTCAGTTATCCATGCAATACAACTCCAGTACGGTGAAATTTTAAGAAATCACCACATCGACCACAAACTGAAGACACAATTCACCTAACTACTCACAAATTAGAGATCTTATGCCTATATTATCGTTTAAGCGGAGACGCGACAACGCGGGGGACGCTACTCTGTTTACTCGCGACGCGAGCTCGCGACGCCAGTCACTGCACACACGATGCAGGTGCTCTGAGAATCTAGGTGGCGCAGACCATTTGAAAGAGGCGCGGACTGCACCACTGCACGAACGGGACGAGCTCTGATTGGTCATAGTTTTACTTAAATTAAATAAAGTAGACCAACATATTCCTTACCTTGCAGATACTTGGTGTGCTCCTGAAGCCCCATTTTCTCTAGAAGTTCCGAAATTGGTAGAGATACAACTTTATCTTGATCGCAGCTATTACTTGAACCGGCCATTGTTGAGTTCACCGGATGGAATGACCGAATGTCCAACCGACAAATCTGATAGAAATGTGGAGCGACCAAACGCGTACGCAGCTACCACAAAGTCTCTGGCTGGTCTGACCTCGACCGGAGCTGAGACACAAGTGAAGTGACTTGGGGCTGGATGGAGGTGCACATCCCACTGAACCGATGAGTGCAGCGTTTACGGCGAAAAATTGTGTGGGATGAGTCAGTCTCACTTCCCTTTCTCCTGCCCTCACTCCCTCCTCTGCCCCCTCCCCCCCCC